GAGCCCGGCCGGCCGCCTGCGGCTCCGCACCGATCGTGCTGCGTCGCCGGGCTCCGCGTACCCCCGCCTCTGCCCAGGCTCCAGCAAAACTTTTATTCTCTGGGGCCTCCTGGGGTGTCTGAAGGACTCCAAGCGCTCGGCCCGCTCTGCGCTCCCCTGCAGCTGCGACCAAGGGGACGTGCATCCCTTGCCCGCCAGGCTCTCGCGCCCCGCGCCTCCTTACCTGCTGAACGCTCCCCGAAGCGGCCAGGGGGCACCCGCGGAGGAGCCGAAAGGGCGCCACCGCCTCTAAACTCTCCTGCCCACCTCGGCCGACCCGCCCGGCGCAACTTTATCTTGATTCCTCTCTTCTAGCCCGGCACCCGCAACTGCTGCTGCCACCGCCACTGTCTCGGCCGCCGCCGCCTCACAAAGGGGCGTAGGGAGGGGAGGCGGGGCGAGCGGCGGACAAGGCTCCGGTGCGCAGGGCGCGGGCCTCTGGGCCGCTGAGGCCCGGAGACAAAAGGGAAACTGCCTCTGTTCGCCGTGCGGGCTTGGAGCTGCCTGCTCGTCCGCCTCCCGGCCGGTTCCGCGAACCTCCTCCCCCTCCACCCTCGGCTGCTGCTCCGCCTCTCTCCGCGCGGGCCATCCCCGCAGTGCTCCGGGACCCGGCGAGCCTTCGGGGCGCGCGTCGCTGCTGGTGGTTGGGGCTCTAGCGATAATAAATGATAGAGGATACAATGACTTTGCTGTCTCTCTTGGGTCGCATCATGCGCTACTTCTTGCTGAGACCCGAGACGCTCTTCCTGCTGTGCATCAGCTTGGCGCTGTGGAGTTACTTCTTCCACACGGACGAGGTGAAGACCATCGTCAAGTCCAGCCGGGACGCCGTGAAGATGGTGAAGGGCAAGGTGGCTGAAATCATGCAGAACGATCGGCTCGGGGGGCTCGACGTGCTGGAGGCGGAGTTTTCCAAGACCTGGGAGTTCAAGAGCCACAATGTGGCCGTGTATTCCATCCAGGGCCGGAGAGACCACATGGAGGACCGCTTCGAAGTTCTTACGGACCTAGCCAACAAGACACATCCGTCCATCTTCGGGATCTTCGACGGCCACGGAGGCGAGGTAAGAGTTTTCTGGAGCTCTGTGTGTGTGCCTGCGCGCTCGCGCGCGCGCATAAATAACAGGACGTTGTGTGAGCAGCAGGGTAGGACCTGAGTGCGAGAGGCGTGGTGATGACCTGGTGCCGGGCTGGACAAAGCCACTAGTTCCACATGTGGCCAAGTTGCCAAAAACACTGCTGGATCTAGACCTCTTGTACTGAGGGTCCTATGTCGGGGAGGGAGGGTCATCCATAACCTATTTTGTGCTTCATAATTTATGAGGTTTCCCAAGGCCAAAACCCAGCAAATGACTGTTAATTTTGCTGGGAGAGGTAATGGTTTCAACAATGAACTTTGGCCTGAGGCCTCAGCTCCCATAGCACAAAGAAGGAAGATTGTATTCTTTGATTCTCGTTCGGGAAAAGACAGACTCAGTGGAGCCGAGTCTGCGAGGGTTTAGAGAGGATGAAGGAACCTCTGACTCCTTCCCATCGCCTGTGCCCTGAGGAGAAACCCGAGGGGCAGCGCTGCGCTTCTTCCCAGTTCCATTAACTTTGCCAGTGCCACCCGGCCACTTGACAGCAGCTCTTCGCTGGCCGCCTGCGTTTAGCCGAATCGAGGCGCAGGACGGAGATGCTTCTGGCATTTGCAGAGGTGTCGGTGCCCGCAGAGGCAGCAGTGCTCGGATCTGGTCCCTGCGCCCTGGCTGGCGTGGGACGCAGACGTCTTCTTGCTTGTAAATTCCTTCTAAATTTGGGGTTCCTGCGGGAGCAAGAGATGAGGTTAGACGCCAGTTCAGGTCCCTCTCCCAAATTTCTGCGGTACCCAGATTGCTGTCCCGGGTTCAGATTTCCAGGAGGTCGGGGCGAGAGTTGGCTTTGGTCCTTGGGCATTGGCCCAGGCGAAGTGAGTGGCAGATATGGCTTCTTCGCTGTGCTCCAAAGAGCATCAGGCCAGATACCCCGTTATTCTAAGTTTGGCAGTTTGGAACAGTTTCTTGCTGCATACTTCCCCCCCCCCCTTTCAACCTACATTTTTACTCGTATTCCCGCGCCCCCCTTCGCCACCCCTTCTTCATCATTTCCCTCTCCTCCCACAGCCCCGAACTCCCACCCAGCTTTTCCCCCTTTACCTTAATTCTCTTCTTGGCCCTTCTGGTCTTTGGCTGGGCTCTAGGGGATGCCATTCTCTTTCAAGCTTGTTCTTTGGCCTTTGTTTTGGGTGAACACTGAGAGAGCTTTAAATTGGTTATCTTAACTGCATTTTCTTTTGGATACAAAGTCACCTCACCCACCAATCTGCTAATCATTCCAACATACTGTATCTACCTGCCTTGTAGAACCAACTTCGCCATTAATGACAAACTTAGTTGGAAAATTTATTTAGTAGAGATGAAATCAGGTTTTGCTATTTTCCAGCCACCCTAGCCCTTTGTATGTTCTGTCTTTTAAAATTAAGGTTTCTCATTGATTGTAATTTTGTAGCCTCTTCTGTAATGTAGGGGGGTTCCTTCCTTTCCCCTTGGTCACAGGGAAGATGAAAGGTGTAGTTAACTGAGGGAGAAATGCTGTGTATTTGGATAAAAACATATCTGCAAGACAAGGTTATCAATATAATGGCTAATTAGTTTCTTAGCTTCAGTCAGAATGTCTATATATTCATTTTATGTGCCTTATCTGTTGGAAGTCATTTAATAAAGCTTATATTTATTTTGTATTTTTATGTTAAAATTGTTGGCAGATGATAATCTGCTTCTTGTCTTAGCAAAGTTTTATTCTTTTAAAATTTTTATTTATTTTTTTAAAAAATTATTTTTTAACTTTCTTTTTAATTTTTGGAGGGGTTTGTTTTTGTTTTGGGGGGAGGTAATTACATTTATTTATTTATTTTAATGGAGGTACTGGGAATGGAACCCAGGACCTCATGCATGCTAGGCATGTACTCTACCACTGAGCTGTACCCTCCCCCACAGTTTTATTCTTAATTTAAAGGTTTGGATGTAATATTAATGCTGTGAAACTTTGGGTTATGTATGTCTGGGTATGCTGTATTGCATGTTTTGAGCCTACACGTGTAAGTGAATGGGTATTTAAATTTTTCTTCTAAGTTGTTATTCTAAAATCTGAAGATTGAAGACCCCAATAGATTTTAGGTTGAAAAATTTACAGTACTATCTTCTGGTAAGTTCACCATTCAGAGAAGGGACATGCTAAATGCTTTTATTTAACTAGAAATATTTTACTTGTATAGGGATTTTTCATTACATTTTTAGATAGTAAACGAGCTGATCATTGTTAGCCACCCTATGAAATGCATTTCATTGTTCCTTATATTAAAAAGCTTGCTGTCTGCAAAATAGTTAATAATATCAGTACCCTGAAAAATAGAATAATTTGTTCCGTCTATAACTGTATACAGTATATAGTCAGTTCATTCATTCTGGCTTTGTTTTGGGGCAAAATAAGTAGTTTAAAAACAAACTATTTAATTGCTATTGGGAATGAGATAACAAATAATCTTAGGTAATTTCTCTCTTGCTTTTTCTTTCATTCAAAGAAAATCCCACCATCTAATTTTTTGTATTTTGTGTTGTTTAGCTCCTTTAATATTCACCAGAGGAGGGTGCCACTGTTTGATTTTGGTGTAGATGATAGTTATCTCCTTTCAGAAAAGAGGGAGCTTTTTCTGAACTCTCTGTCTGTATACCCTTATATGTTGTCTGTAGAGTGTCACGGAAGATGAATGAGGAGTTAAACTTTATTTCTAGTAATTCAAACTAATAAAAATCAGGGCCCATCTACAGTGGTAGTGCTTTTAGATACAGAAAGACCCTAAGCCACCTTGTGAATCTGTTTCATCCTGTATTTTAGATGAGATGTTTATTGATGGTAGGAGTATTTGTGACCTTCCTAAGGCTACATGTCTTGTTCAAGGCCTTCAGTTTGATGATCTTTATAGTAAACCAGTAGACAAATTAGTTTGCATATTTACCTGAGTAAATAGCACACTAGGGATATGAGGGTGAATGAAACATGATTCCCATCTTCAGAAAGTTTCAGTGTGGTGAGAGAGATAGACCTGTATACCAGAAATTATAGACACGGTGTGCTGAGGGTGTTATTGGAATACCGAAGAGGGTCATTTAAATCAAACTGGGAGGTGGGAGGCCCTGGGAAAGACACCTTAAAGGCATCATTTACTGCAAGGTTAAAAGTGTAGGCTTTGGCTTGAGATTTGGTTTTGAATCTCTGCTCTGCCTTATACTAACTGTGACGTTGGACAAGTTGTTTATGCATCTTTATCGGGGAGTTTTTAATCTAAAAAATACGGATAATAATGTAGGTCTTAACCTTCATCAGTTGCATAATACTCTGTCTAGAGAAATACTTGATGGAGAGAAGGTTGTGGAAGAAGAAAGCTTAAAGACCAAAAAGTCTGCAGTGTTGGGGGCATCAGTATCCAAGGAAGGAAGGAGACTACCTGTGAAAGCCATAGCTTTGATCACTACTGGTGAACTGATTATTAATTTAGGATTCCAGGTATCTTAGCATTGGGAAAGCAGCATCCTGGCTTCAGGTGCAAATTTTATAATTCGGAAAAAAGAATATTCTTTATGATTAGTTAATAAATTGGTATTCTGATTTGTACTTCAGCCTCTTAGGAGTTGAGTTAACATGAGTTAGTTATCGAGTCTCTTCAGCTGTGTATTTTTGACAAAGATATGTCTCTGAACATGTTATGCTGGGGACTATACTCTGGATGGCTGTGAATTCTAGATGGATCATATCTTAATGAGCTGTGTCTTGGAGGTTCTACAGGCCAGGTTCCTCACTTGATGCTCTTAAACCCTTGAAACATTCTAACTACCATACTATGGGTGGATGGTTGACTCTGTGTGTGTGTGTGTGTGTGTGTGTGTATAAAGTGATTGTTTTGCTGTATAGTGCAAATTAAAACAGAAAGGTTAAAAAAACTCAGATTGTATCAACTAATGTGGAAAGGTTATTTTTAAAGTTATAAATGATGTTTATCTAGGAAAATTGTTTTGCTTATCTGTAATTTTTATCCACAGGCAAAAGGTGTTTTGTTTTTTTAAACTTTTTAAAAATTAACTAGAAGAAATATTACCCATCCTTTCAGGCAACTTTGTCAGCGTTCATAGCTGAAATCTACCTAGAAAAACAATTGTTATGCGCTCTATATGCTTATGGGCATTACTGTATTAAAGGTCACATATCATACAATTGACACACAGTTTGGTCAGGGGTTTAAGCTTAGAGTTCCACACATCACATCAGAGAGAAGCTGTACTTCAGATACTTGTCAGGAGCTATAGTCTTGAGAGTTAGCACTTCTCAGAAGCTCAGAAGAAAAACTGCTTATGGTGGGTTGCCTGAAGGATGTATACAGTCAAGTTCTTTAGATCAGTGGTTCTTAACTTTTCTTGAGTCATTCTTCTTTTTGAGGATGTTATGAAACCACAGACATATCCCCCAGAAAAATGGGCATGAACATCAAGTTTTGTTTATAATTTCAAAGTGAAGTGGATGCCTGAAGCCTCTGGATTTTAGGTGAGTCTAGATAGAATCAAATCTGTTTCTGATAAATCTAGACCTGCAGGGAGCTGTGTACTGGGACCCCACCTCGCCCTGATCGTGTCCCTCTCTGTCATTTTGCACTTACTGACTTTTGTGCTGGCATTTCCCCTTGAGGACTGTTATGAGGGACGGTCTTCCAAAACTCTCTGATAAATCAACTGCAGAGAAGTCATTGAGGACTTTATTTGTTACGTTATATAGTATCCTCTTTATGAGGACCAAGGGAGACAGTCTTCTCTGAGAGCTTTTTATTTTTATCTTAAGGATGCTGAATCATGTAGCTGATTGGATCATCCTGTGTTTGTTGGCTGCTAGGAATGTTAGAGCCAAACCTCTGACCTGCCTCTATCAAGTGTGCAGAATTTTACTAATTTGGCACATGAACCTCATTCCTAGGTCAGCTTATCTTTCCTCCATTTAGTTT